GATTTTGACTAATAAACATTAATGAATAATTATGTCAGAATCAGAGTAGAGACCATGGTATGCTATTTTTCAGCATATACATATAGGGTTCCTTGTTTAGAAGGCAAAATTGTTTAATTTAGCATATATGTTAGACCCCCTCATGATTCCAGAGGGTCAGAGGGTAATGTTACTAAAGTACTTTTGCTTAAAGAAAATGTTAGAGGTGGAAAGAATCTTCTTTAATAAACCCATTTATAAATGTGTCTAAGTAAAAGTTCTGAGTGCTTACCCTAGACATGTTTCCCAAAGAGCTAGAAACTGTTATTAGAAATGACTTTGTGATAGTCCCTGATGCTGCTGCTGTACTAATTGACCACTAGTTAAAATCAGATTATCTAGGAATAAAATTGTGAAGCAGTAACTAGGGTAGATGGAAATGAACAAATTTAGGAAGTGTCCACAAAGACAACTGATAAGACCCAGTGGGTGCTAAAGAGCATATCAGCATTCACAATCGTCATAAAAGGTTTTATCCAACCAGAGGCTTGCCAGCTTTCTAGTTTTCATGAGGACAGTGTTAAAATGTGTGAAACTATTTAAAAAAAATATTCCGTATGTGGAACAGAACATAGGAACATATGTGTAAAGTTTGGAGACGAGGAACACTCTCATGCTCGTCACCCAACTTTAGAAATGAAACACGGATAAATCTTTAAAGCTTTGGTGTGTCCCTCTCCAATTTGCTTCCCCACTGTCTTCCTATCCAGAGGATAACTATTTCTCTGCATTTCCTAGCTTTTCTTTCTAAGGTCGCCATATAGGTATATATTACTAAACAGTAGAAATGGAAACATTTCTACTCTATGTGTTTTTCTGATTTGCTCTTCTTAACCTTTTCTTTGTAAGGTTGAGCTTTGTTGACACACTTAGTTTTAGTTGATTTATTTTTAGTGCCGCGTAATTTTTGCTTAGTAATGAGCTTTAATAATTCAGTGGACAGGTTAGTCACACCTAAGGAGAATTATTAAACACAAATATTAATCTTAAGAAATTACTCAGAATGCTTCAAAAAGAGGTTAAAGAGGAAAAATTTAAAGGAAGCTTAAAAAGCATGGAGGATGGAATGAAAAGTTCTAACAGAGGTCTGTTGGGAATGCTAAAAGAAAAAAACAAAGTAAGGGGGAATCAATACCCAAATAATGGCCAAAATTTCGCAAAGTCAATAAATCCATAAATGTTTATATTCAGTCCTGAGCAGGATAAATTTAATTTACATCTAGGTGCAATATAGTAAAATAACAAAACACCAAAATCAAAGAGAAAGCCTTAATATTAACTGTAGAGAAAAACACAAGTATAACAGAGGGATAGCAGAATTGGGTAGACATAACAGAGAAGCCAGAAGACTGGAATAATATCTTCAAAGGGCTGAGAAAAAACAAAGCAAAACAACTTTTTAAAAAATATATATTTTATTGATTTTTTACAGAGAGGAAGGGAGAGGAAGAGAGAGCTAGAAACGTCGATGAGGGTGAAACATCAAACAGCTGCCTCTTGCACACCTCCTACTGGGGATGTACCCGCAACCAACGTATTATACATGCCCTTGACCAGAATCGAACCTGGGACCTTTCAGTCCGCAGACCGACGCTCTACCACTGAGCCAAACCGGTTTCAGCAAAACAGCTTTTAACATAGAGTTTTATACCCAATTAACCTATTTTTCAAGAGTAGTGGCAAAATGCACTTTTAAACAAAGACTGCTGAATACTAGTGAATGTGTCTTAGAAAGAAGGAAATTGAGCCAAAAAGGAAGGACTGTATAAAAAAGTAATGGCATACATATAGGTGAATAAGTAAATTTTGACTGTATGAAATGATAATAATGACTACTAATATTCAGAATGCAAAGCAAAGTGGAACTAAAATGTTAGATAACACTGACAAGCCTTAAGGCAAGTGATGTGTATTAAAACTGTTAAGGGAAAGGGCATATGTGATTTTTCATTTTAGGCATTAAGTGTGGTGTGCATATCTAAAATTTAGTAAAGAGTAGAAATATGTAATATTCAAATCAATAGATAGCTGGTGAGGAAAGTAAGGAAAACTGTCAATTTATTAGTAAGCAACAAAAGAATGGACAGAGAGGTTGGGGAAATAGCAAAGAAAAAACTTACAAAAAGAAAGTAAAGTCAACCCAAAGATATGAGTAGTAACAGTTAATGTAAGTCATATAAATCTGCCAATTATAAAAATACTGACTTAAAAAATACAAAGTATAATAATATTAAGGAATAATATTAAGGAAATAGTAGCCAAATATGATTTGCTGTAGCACAAATCATAAAGGAAAATATTAAGTATTTCAACTCGATACATTTACCAACAAAGAAATAGCATTCTGCAAATTAGTTAGAAAGAAAATAGACAAATAGACAAAAGATAAAGATAGTTTGCAGAAAAGAGGTGGAGAATGATTCCAAAGGGGAAAGAAAGAGAAAAATGTTAATCTGACAAAAGCCAAAACCACATTGAGATGTCCTGTCACACTTACCTATCTAACATTACCAAGAGACTGTGAGGAGGAACATGAGTTGAGAGTATAAATTCTTACAACCACATATATGAGTAATTTGGCAGATGGAAGGTGAACTCATAGCCTTGAGTGTAATACTATTTCCATGTGCATGTAAATCTTATGGATTCCTTGAGCAGAAGAAAATACCTTTGTTTGTAATCACAAAGACAAGAATGGTAACAATCTAAATGCCTCTCAGCAGGAGACTAGATATATAAATGTTTGCATCTTTACACATTAAAATGTTTTATATACTTTACATGAATAATAAAAGATTTATCTTCTATTGAATGTTCCTTCATCCTAGTTCAGTGTTTGTGGTAAATGTTAACATTGTACACCAAACATTCCTTTCTTCTAAGGACACAGCAGGGTTGCACTTTCCCACCTCCTTGAACTTAGGAAGGCCCTGTGACTTGCCAAGTCCACCACATGTGAGCCACGTGATGTGTTACTTTGGGGGAAGAGTTTTAAGAGCCAGTACCCAGCTCTCTCTCTTCTCACACGCTAAAACAAAGCCTCTGTCACCTGGTCCCTGAGTGATACAGGGAGCACAGCCACTGGGCTGATTGTCCCTGAACACACAGGGTGAGCGAAGAACAAACGTGTGCTGTGTGAACCGCTAGGAGAGTTGGGGCTGTTACTGCCTCCACAGTGTTGTTATGTCTCAGCTCAATTTACTGTGCATCTTGTGTCCCTTCCATAAGTTCTCTCTTCCAAATCACAGAATTCTTCCTCTTTTCCAAGAGACAAGGTACTAGAACACTGCCTCTAAATATAGCGCTTCATCTGTCTTTTTTCAAAGTCATGGAAGCTTCTCTCTAAGCCCCTTCTCTGTCAGAAAACTGTCCTTGCAGGTTTTTGCACCAGTGTTTTTGCTTTGGAGTTAAGCTTCATAGCAAGAGGATTCATCACCAGAAAATTCATTCTCTCTCCCTTCTCCTCCCCTCCCTTCCTTCTTTATCTGTGGATGGCTGTCCTCATCTGCCAAGAGCAGAGCCATTAGGGAAGGTCTGTGAGATGAGGGCGCGCCCAGCTTTGGGAAATAAGTACATTTCATAAAGATACATGTACGACTCTTTACTTGGCATTCTTGTAAAGTTAGAAATGTTTTGGCACAGTGGTAGTACTGCTCTCCCTCTTTTCAGAGTATAATGTTGTACCGAAAAGTACAGTATACTGTATATCTGATGAGAAATTATCTTTTTTCCCAATCTATTTTCAAATTATGTAATGTAAGCTATAAATCTTGAATGGACATAGCCAGGGTTAATTATAGATTTGGGTTAAATGACTTAAATAGCTTAGGGGGGGGGGGGAGGAACTCACCTTTTATCATTCTTTTCTTACTGTTCAGAATATATGTAGTTTGTTTTTGAACAGATGTTATTTTGTGGAAGCCCTTGATTTTTATAAATAAACAGGTTGATATGGCTTGGAATATAGAGGGAAACTCAGAATCAAAACAGAGCTGGTGTTTCAAAATATAGCAGTTTGTGAACAAAGAGAAAAGCATATGTATTAAAATGCATGGAATAGTAAACAAACAAAAGAGGGAAATAAATCATGGCTGAGGGCAATGTATATTCTGAAAAAGCGTTGGTGCCATGTCCTGGATATTTTTCTTTTTTATGAATTTTCAAATGGTAATATAGGTGTATATATCGATATACACACACACACACACACACACACACACACATATATATTTAATCTTTTTTCAAGTAAATTTATTAAACGTAATAAATAAGTGCAGTTTAGAGAATGTAAGTGCCATGAGACTACCACGTAGCTAAAGAACAGAACAAGACCAGTACTTTTGAAACCCCTACAAAATTTCATTCTGGAAATGAAGTCATTAATGTTTGAACCCCATTGGTGGGAGTCCCTCCAAGATTTCATCTCTCTTTTTTCAGACAAATTATCCTCAAATTTGTATAATAATTCCTCGGACTTCAGTTTTAGATGTATGTATATCTCTAAACAAAGTATATTTATAGTTTTGCCTTTTTTAAAACATTGTATAAATAAACTCATACTCTGTGTTCTTCTGTCTTGTTTTTTTTTTAACTTAACATTTTTTTTATTCATCTACTTGCATATAGCTATGGTTCATTAATCTCAATTACTGTGTAGTTTCCCTCTATAGTATTATTTTGCAGTGTGTTAGTTCATTTTATATTTTATGGGGTATTATGTTTCTTTTCCATAAAATTTTGTAAGGTTAATTGTTATATGTAGTTTGGTTTGTTCCAACCTTACGTACAACTACATTTTGTTTTGTTTTTAAGCTATTTGACATGGAAAATGTGTTCATATTCTGAGATAATCAAGATATTCTAATTTACCTTTTGTCAATGATTTGAGATAAATATTGATTTTTTTTTTTCCACAACACACTATCGAGATATATTTGATTTTTCTTGTCTTGGCTTCACAGTTCCCAAGGAGAATGTCGCAACGATTGCTGATTGTGCCAGTGTGATTGAAGGAGTCAGTCGGAGCCGAAACGCCTTGCTGAATGGGGACACAAAGAATTATGATTGGGATTCTGGCTACACATGCCATCAATTAGGAAGCGGGGCCATTGTGGTTCAGCTGGCACAGCCATACATGATTGGGTCAATACGGTAAGAAGACTACTTCTCACTCATTACTTTTGAAATGGAAGACACATACAAATTATAGTTTGGTACCGCGATGTGTCAATAACTTCAGTGAAGACACTCTTCTATTCTTTGCTCTTGATAGGGAGGGAGGGTAGAAAGGGGTACAGAGATATAGGTACTTGTTGGATTCTCGGGGGAAGGGGAGATGCAACAAGAGTTAGACTTCTGGGGAAACTAGAATAGAGGGCTCTCCCTGATTCGTATTGGTTAGGGACTTGTAGGATAATGTCAGCACAAGATACACAGAATAAAAAATCATTTGAAGCTTTAATAAATGGCTTTTCATAGGGACAACAGAGAACTGTATATGAGACCTGCTTCTAAAGAGTTTTTGTAATGATCTTTGTGTCTGTTTTTTATTTGTTGTTTTCATTTTGCTTTAAGAAAGGAACTTTAACCCAATATTGCTTGATTTATAGGATCACATGATTTTGTTGTTGTTGTTGTTGTTGTTGTTGTTAATCCTCACCTGAGAAACATTTTTATATTGAATTTTAGAGCGAGGGGAAGGGAGGGGAAAAGACAGAGCAAGAAACATTAATGTAAGAGAGACACATCAATTGATTGCCTCCTGCATGCACTCTGACCAGGGCTGGGGATCATACCTGCCACCGAGGCACGTGCTCTTGACCAGAATCAAACCCAAGACCCTTCACTCCACAGGCTGATATTTAACCACTGAGCAAAACTGGTGAGGGACTGGTGACATCTCCTAGACTCTAGAGCCTAGAAAATATACTTTTAGTTCAAGAGAACCATCTGGGTCTTAAATAGGCTGCCTATTTGTTCTTAATGTTCTAAGACTGTCTCTGAAAGAGTAATGGTAAATTTTATAAATATTAGAGGCCTGGTGCATGAAATGCGTGCACAGGCGGGTCGGGACGTCCCCCAGCTTGGCCTGCATCCTCGGGAGATGTTGGGCCTAAACCAGCAGTCGGCCATCTCTCTGGCAATTTGGGACCATACTTTTCATACAGGTGGAAGGCATCTTGCTGTTGTTTGGGCAGCTACATTTTTTTGCCCTGATTATAAAAAGTAGAACATAACATAATCCTTCTGAAGCAGTAGTACTGTTTTCCCCATCTTATGGGTGGAAAAACTGAAGCAGAGAGAAGTTAAGTAATTGGCTTTGTTACAGTTGTGTCAGAATCAGGGCTGACCACAAAATGTGCAAGCCAGAGTCCATGCATGTCATCGCTGCATCATCCTGTTTTTTCAGTGTTAGAGTAGCCTTGCCAGGTTTGAATTTTTAAATCTAAGGGACTGCTCCCAATATATAGGGTAGGGTCCCTAGGCCTGGTTGGCAATCAGGGCCATCTGTGGGGCAACTGGAAGGCGGGGCAATCGGTCAATTTGCATATTAAGGTTTTATTATCTAGGGTGTGTGTGTGTGTGTGTGTGTGTGTGTGTGTGTGTATTTATATTTAGCATTAGATGAGCTGTTTTACATTGTCTCTTAGCCTGTAGGGGTAAAGACGTTGGCAGGATATGGCCACTTTCCCCCTATCACACTTCTCAATTTAAAGTCAGTATGTATAAAGAGAGCAGTAGGACAAATTAAGGTAGTAGGGGTCTAATATGCAAAAATTAATTGGTGTTTAGTTTAGTAACCGCAGAGGTAATTGCTGCTTGCCTCAATGATTTGACATAGATACTAATTTTTTTTTACAACAGTTTCTGGGAACCCTGATGAGTGATGGTAGATTTCTTGGAGAATTAAGACTGTGGATTTCTTCATTTAAATTGTCAACCCCTTTTCATAAAGAGCCATGTACAGCTGGAGTACCATAGCCAACAAATCGCAGAGAGAGGAGCCTGGAGTTTAAACTGCAGGCAGACAGCTCACATTGTGCTTAGGAAGGGGAAGAGACAAGCCACAGGCAGTCTGAACAAACTGCCAGTGCAAATAGCCCCTGTCACAGAGCAAACAGCACCCCTCCTTCCTCTTCCTCACCTGCATGCATTAACTAAAGTATTCATAAGCCATCTATTTCATAAGCCATTTGTGAATTTTTGTCATAGGTGGTGTGAAACGTATCTGAATATTTCTCATTACAGTCTATCCCTCTTCACTTTAAAAACCTGGGAAACAGTTGTCCTTCTCTTGTCACTGGCGCTCTTTATAGTCTCCACAGTTTCTTGAAGATTACCAATCGTGTCTCTGAGATTACATCTGCAATTTCTTTCAGCAGGCGTGTGGTGTAACTCATCTGAGCCAGGAGACTTGAAATCATATAAATTGACTAGATACCCTCTTTCTTTCACTTCACCTATTTGGGGCTTCAATTTTTTCTTTATTATGTTTGTTCTGCCATTTCTAATTTGGAGACCAGCCGTCTTGCCAATGAACAAGTAAGCAAACTGGCAGCTTAGTAGCTCTTCCCACTCTCTTTTAATGTTCCTTGTATTGTGTCTGTTTACCTGGTACTTCCCTTCCTCCCCTCCTACACACACACATACACACACACACCTAACAAGGTCCCATGTGCATCTCAAACCCATGTCAGAAATGGATCCTATTATCTTTTCCTTCCCCTGTTCAAGTTGCCTCACACTCGATGCCCCATTTCATACCATGGCACTACCCTTCTATCCATCAACTGAGCCCAAAACATGGGGATCTCTCTAAATTTCTTCCTCTCTCTCCCTATTGCCCTCAACTAGTCAGTTGTAGAGTTCTGTCAATACCAGCTCCTACTTGGTCTCACAAATCCTTCTCTTCTCCTTCCACTGTCATCACCACAGTTGCACCTTTGTAGTTCCTCCTCTCCACCTGGCCTTCCAGACTTTCATCTAGCCCTTCCTTCCCCCCAGCAACCATCTCCCACCTGTTACCACAAATCTCATTCCTTAGAGAATTTGTGGCTACTGTTTTCCTTTGGGAGAAAGTTCCAACAAAGGCACTAAAAGTGATCTGACTTGGCTACTGTCTGTACAGCCTGTCTCCACCCACCCTGCACCTGCTCTGTCACAGCCTCCTCTGCTCCTTGCAGTTTTACACTTGTCACCCTCTTCCCCCCGCATCTTCAACTCTTTGTACACACTGTCCTCAGGGCTTAGGTCTCTCATTGCCTTCTCATCACCCCCTGTATGCCTGGCTATTATTCCTGCTTCAAATCTCCACTCCTTTGAGCACGCTTCTATAACCTCACCATCTTCTGGGCTAATTTGAACATTCCTCCTCAGTGATCTCAGTGATCAAATTGCTACCAGAGCATTTGTTGTATTTGTCAAATTGTGTCCTTGCTGCCTCCTCCGGGCCTCAGCTGATATATAAAGCCTGTGGCAACTCAGAATGAGCATCCCTCGACAGTTTGTGCAGATGAGGTAGTCTGACAAGATAGAGGGAAAATTGTGGTGGGTAAGATCTAGTAAGAGATCTAAAATCTATATCCAACAGGGGCCTCATGAGGTCTTTGCCAAAGTGACAGCTTAGAGACAAATAGGCTATTCATGTGACAAGGCCACCTTGACCTCCAGCTCAGGTCAAAGCATCAGAGAGGTTGAATCTGACTCCAGAAAAAGGTGTGATTGGGACTTATGGCAAGAGGGAACAGTGTCCATTTGTTTCTCTTTGAATGTGGGATTAAAATGGTTCCCCCAGTTTTTCTTTTCCTGACTCAGAGGAGGGATGATGTGCATGAGCACAGCCAAAGGCAGAGCTGTGCATCTCAGCACAGTGTGACGCCTCCGACTTCCTCCAGCCCAGATATTGTTTCTGTGGGGAGAAAATCCATGCCACTGAAGCCTGTGTAACTGGCTGAGTGCTCAGAGAGACACGTCTCTGTGAAACTCACATTATGTTGTCAGGGGCTGCATTTGCCTCTTCTGTGACATTGTTAAGAAGAGAAGGACAGGGATTTATTAACCACCAATGCCCCTGGACGATGCTGGATGTCCTGGCAGGCTGTGGTTAGCAGCTCATGTGCCCAGACAGATATTTATTGGTGGGAAAGTAGATCAGGGGCACCTCTTCATGGGTACGGGTAATTGACCAATGACAGTTGACTAGTAAATGACATTTTACCTACAGTTTCTACAGTTGCTTGTGTTGACTGATTTGCTTCCTTCTCACTGTATCTGAAGAAGGCCAGTGATTCTGAATCAGTTCCTAAGGATGCATGTTACAAGGCTGAGTGACTTACGCGTTCCCATCTGAAAGTGAGCTGACAGTCCTGGAAACTCGTGGTACCCTGACTTCAAATTCAGATTTCTTTGTAGGTGATGACTTTTAAGGCCAAAGTCTCAAACACAAATGATCTCCATCACTGTGTTCATTATTTCTGTGAGGAGACATAGTTGTTTGTGGATAAAAACTATTTGTTTTTGTCTCTATTTGTCTGATTTCATCCACAGAATCCATTTCTTCTTTTCCTGAGTTTCCCCTGTGGCTGGTAGGCAAGCAGAACCTTGTTTCTTTTCTTCTTCTTTTTTTAACCCTTACCCGAGGATTGATTTCTAGAGAAGGGTAGAAAGAAGGCAGGGGGGTTTGGGGGGAGGAGAGAGAGAGAGAGAGAAATGCAAGAGAGACATATTGATTGGTTGACTCCTCAATGTGCCCCTACCAGGGCTGGGGGATCAGGAACCGAAATATGTGCCCTTGAATGATAATTGAACCCAAGACCTTCAGTCCGAGGGCCGATACTCTAAGCTAGGGGTGTCAAACTCAATCAGAGAAGGGGCCAAAATCTAAAATCCAGCCTAAATCGCGGGCCGAATGGTTTACTGAACAGTCATAAACTGTCATTGTGATGGAAACGCAGTGGAGTGCAGTGATGACAGCGCGGTTCGGGCCACATTGCAAGGCCTGGCGGGACGGATTTGGCCCGAGGGCCTTGTGTTTGACACATGTGCTCTAAGCAATGAGCAAAAGTGGCCAGGGCAAGCCTTGTTTGTTTCTTTAAAAAAAAGAAAAAATCTATTGATTTTTACAGAGAGGAAGGGAGAGGTATAGAGAGTTA